ATAGAAAGTATTATAGATTGTGTATAGTTTGTTACGTTTGGTTTTATTTTGTGTTAACGTAATTATTGTGTTTAATGAATATCGTGCAAACAACAGTTTTTGTTGTTTTCAGAGGAAATGTCCCACCTCTACTTGCCGTGGGGCTCCGGCGAACGGTATACGAATCGTTTGCAAGTGCGGAACCAATTTGCCAGTACATTAGAACTACATAAACAGTCGTCTTACGAGTATCAGGAGCCCGTGCAGCGTCAAAGAAGTCCAAGTTTGCCGCCGATACATAATATTGAGGAGAGATCTATGAAAGATGACAGAAGGAATACAGTGCTTAATCGGAATATGACGAGTGCGAAGAGGTTCTCATTTTACGACGAAGACGGAGAAGGCGATACTTCTGGGTACGGCAGTGAAACATTGAACCACATGAACAGAACCGGACACAGGGCTATTCACGAAGCCAACAACCACAGTCCTGTCGTGGCGTGGCAACAAGAAGGAAAAGACGACAGGTAAGACTGTTTCACCTTGGTTGTCTACTTGACGCACGGAAAGTTATGGATGTGGTACAATCGCGTTTTAACTACCCATGCAACTTACGTTTATTGTTTTATATTTTGCAACATTAATGCATTTTTTTAGTGTTAGTAGTCACGCATATAATGAATCCGTTTAAAATTATGCAGAAAATTGGCCTCCATAATAATTGTGCAACTGTGATGTATTATACTCGTTGCTTAATATCTATAGATACTTACGTGGATTTAGCTTTAGAAGCAAAATATAATTTGAAATAGATATAATAATTTCTTTTATTTATTAATTTCATTAATATTTTAGTAACTATCTACAGTCTTAGTAACCTATTTTATCTACTAATAAAAATGTAAGAGCTGTAGTAATAAAAATAAGTGTGAACATATTGCATTAGCCATTACACCGTTTTTGCAATCGTAATTTATTAAAAGAATTGTAATTTTAGACTCAGAGTAGTATTGAGTATCCCAAAATAACAAAAAAGTGAGTAACATCTAGTGTAGAGGTAGTGTCTGATTGAGCTATAGTCGAGTGTTGTGTTTTTATTAGATTTGGGCTGATTTTTCCAACGCCAGATGGAACTGAGGAATAATATTTTGAATAGGTATTTGACAATTCCTTCATACTAAAAACTATCAAGACTGACTGAGGTCTCGGGTTCGATTTCCGGGTCGGGCAAAATAATACTAGGTTTCTAAAAACATCTCAGTAGTAGCACGGAGTCTAGAATTGTGCCCGGTAGGTATATGGCAACAGGCTCACTCACCCCCTATTACATAACATACCTAATTAGAGACAAGTGGGTGTTACATTGTACAGTGGCATTAAGTGCCGTAACGTGCACCTCTGCCTACCCCCTTCAGGGATAAAACACGTGATGTTATGTTATGTTTGAAACCTGTCAAATATCAATTTTATTCTACAGTTAAAAATTAATTATGATTGAAAAATCGAACCTAAGGGCTCAGTTATTACTCAGTTACAATTTATCTAGCGTTGGAAAAATCGGCCCTTACTTATGTACGGTAGGTAGGTAAAACTTATTGGTTTAGTAATCACCAACACGGTGTCTGAGTTAATCATAATGTGTAACAGTGAAACAGTTCGACTGTTTAAATAAAACGAATGGTCTGTAACCCGCCTTAGTGATAGTGTCACATTTTACCCCTATGGTACCTACCTACAGAGCCCTAAAACATTAATTTTCTGTTAACTATGTGCAAATACTGCAGTGTGATAAAGTGCAAACTTATTTTTTATGGAATAAACCGGTAAATCCTCTCACACTTGCATACTTTAATTAAACCAACCCAACCAAATCGACATCTTTGATAAATGACGAAGCAGATAAAATTTTCAACCAACATTTTTAAAATGACACACTAGGTTTTACTCTCGATATAACGGTATAGCATGAAGATATCTCACACATGCGCAAGTGAAATCATCAAATCGATACAACGTTAGGTATTCTGTCGCCAGTCATTTTGCTCATTATCGGTAATTGAGACGATTACATTCTAATCGCTAAGACTAGCAGAACTAAGCCTTGTGTGATTTGCTTATAAGTACCTACTTCTACTTAGGCCATGCCTACCTATATTACCTCTATATTCTATTATTTATACCTTACTTAACTTAATTATGACTTAATAATGAACTTAATAAATCGTTTTTCTTTCCAATACGACGTCATCATGTATATCCTAAAAGGAAAAAAGAGATCCAGTGTATTTTGCAAAAACCTAATAATGCTTTTAAAAAAATATAGTATTTTATTATGCAGACTATGTATCTATCAACATAGTTATACACGACATTTACTTTTTTCACTTTATCACAGGAATAGGGATTCTAGCGGCGGTAAGTCAGGCATGTCGGATGGGGCGTGGTCAGCCAGAAGTCCACGGACGTCGGAAGAAGGCCGGCTACGATGGGGCGACCGTGGCGTCGCCACTGGCAGGCTCTGGGAACCTACTGCGCCTAATGCTAGACTGCCCCAGGTAATGCTATCATAAGTAGCATAAGTACTGAATTTAAGCCTCTTATTTCTTTTTAAATTAATGGGCATAATTAATAAGTGTGCTACTGTTCTGCCTTCCTTTCGATCCTTAAGAAAATAAAAGGTGTGATCATGTATGGTACCATAAAATTTCCATATTCTTGGTAGGTTCCTCCTAGTTTTAATACAAATATTAAGTAATTTTCGCTAAAGTAAGAAAAAAGCTTTTTTTGTGCAGTCAAGATTAATCGGCTGAATTTACTCAAAGCTCAATATGCGACCCCTTACCTTAACTGTACATTTCGTGCGGTCGGCCAATAGAAAAAAGACAGGAATATTAATAACCTAATTAATAGTCGATGCACTGATGTCTTTTTAGTATTTTATAATACTAATAATGTCATGGTGATTCTAATCAAATGGGTTTTTTTTGTAAAAGGGCAATAGATTATTGTTATAAATGACTATAATAACATTTTATTTTATAGATGCCCAATCAAAAAAAAGGCACGCCATCTTGGGTCGAGCGTGGATTGAATATGATAGACAACACAGCAGAGGTTCTAGTCATTGACCAAAGAAGTTCTAGTAATAGCACTGGAATAGATTGCGATAGATCTTCATGCAACGGAAGTGATGAAGGAAGGTAAGCATTCACATAAAAAATACACGATGTCTTACAATAATTCTGGTACCCTTACAGATAATTTTCTTTGCAGGACGTTTTTAAGAGGACAAAATGTTCCCATTGAGCCTGAAATCAAAGCTCAACGAGAAAACAAACGCTTAAAAGCATTAGAGTTGCAATCAGCGATACTGAATCAATTGGAAGACAGAGAGAAACGGCGTCAAGAAGAGAGAGAACGGCAGCTTAGAGAAGAAAGACTAGAAGAACTTCGCATACAAAGACAACAAGAAGAAGACAGACTAAGACTAGAGGAAGAACGAAGAAAATTAGAAGAAAAGCAATTGATGGAGCAGAAGAAATTAGACACACTGAAGAGAGCTCTTGAAGACGCTGAAAGAAAAGCGAAGCTAGAAAAAGAGAAGAGATTTAATTTCCATAAAAGAAATGCAAATACTAATTCGGATAACGTTCCTAAACCTAAAGTAGAAGAAACTCCAGTAGTTACTGAGACCACACCGCGTGTAGAACCTACAAGTCCTACCAAAACAAGTAGAACATACGACATTCATTCCGCGAAAAGTCAAAAAAGGGAATGCAACTCCCACCAAACGACAGAATTTAATTCACCACGATCAGTAGGCCCAGGAAATCTAAATTTGTTTATTCATAGCGTACCTCCATTAGCTTTGGCGGATGGACAATTTAACATTGTACCGATTGGGTTAAATGGCGCTAATGAAGTTATAAACACACAGCCAAATAATATACAATTAGCAGTATTAGTACCTCAGAACGTGGCCAACAATTTGTATAGCGTTTCATTAAACAATAATGTGAATGAAATTAATGATATAGGAAAATTATTAACACCAAATAAGTACAGGACCATGAGAATGAAAGATGCAGCAACTCAAACAGATTCAATATTTAAATCTACAACTGATAAAATTATAGAAACCGAGGAACCCGAAAGAAACATTGATAAAGACTATCCTAACATTGACGAGAATGCGCCACAGGACAGTCATCATAACACGTTGAAAAAAGATAGACGTTTTAGATCTGAGGAGAGATATAAAAAAGATTTGGAAAATCGTCCAAAGTGGGGCGTTAATAGACCTGCTGCTCAATACAAAAAGCAAAGTGAAAAAGATCCATTCTATAGTCAAAAGAGAAAGATGCGTCAAAAGTACAGACCTCAAGCAAGACAATATTTATCACATTCTAGTGACGATAGTCGTTCTCCAAGTCCACCTACAAGGTCTGAAAAAACTATCGAAAATGGAAATAAACACAGAAACTCATTAAGTCAATCTTATTGGCGAAGTAAACGGTCTAGTCAAGATTTATCAAAATCTTTAAATGTATCTGAGATAACAAACAATTTACAACCTGATTTTAACTCTTTAGCACAATTAACAGGTACTGAAATCACAGAAACTAAAAAATCACCTAAAGCGTCTCCAATGAAAAGAATGACCTTATCGCAGAAATTTATCAACGACAAATATGGGAACAGAAAATTATGGATAGATGACATTAATGAGAGAAATGGAAAATCTAACCAATTTGATGCTGAAAACAGAAAGAAAATTATAGACCAAATAAATACTGCCAAAAGAGAACTTTACGATAAACATGAAGAACAAGAAAATTATGTAAAAACCAAATTTTAGATTTAGTTTTCCTTAAGGCACAATATGGCTAGTCATGCAACACGTAGTGAAAAATTAGGTTACTTACGAGATACCATCGATTCAACGGTTTGGTTTCCTAGTAAACAACGTGGAGCATTCAGTTGGATCGATGCTTCCTATAGTAACAAGTTAGTTGTATTTCACACACCGTACCCTAAGCAAATATGTCTAAAATAGACGAATTATTTGATAAAAAGAAAGATGAGGCTCCCATGTTGGACTTGTCTAAAACTGTGATAAATACTGCTGAAGAATATAGAGCAGTTTTAGATAAAGTACCGGACTTTAAAACTCGACCAGAAAAGGTAACTGTTGCTTATAACCAAAAACTTAGAAAGTGCCGATGATTTACTTACAATTTTAACAAAATCCTTTAGGTAAGATCAGAAGACGTCAAAATCAAAGAAGACAATAAGACCAAGACACCTCGCAAAGAAATAAAGGCATACGAAACATTGGGAACCAGAGGATACGAGGAGAAACATTTTACATTCATGGATCCTATACCGGCAGAAATGAAAGGACTGAAATTTGAAGAACTGTGTATTGTCCCTATTGAGTGGCGGATGCTTACTTCTATCAGGCCGAAGTTGAAAATGGACGAAGAATTTTTTAACAGGTGAGTTAGAAATATTATAAACCTATTTCATGTAATTTGTCATCTATTTAATTATGAGATGATGCTGATTAGTGATTTTAATTTTAACCGTTATTTAAACATTTTTTCAGGTTAGTAGAACTAGGCAAGTCCGAGCTTAAAACAAAAGCAAAAGATAAAAGAGATTACGCTAAAAACTTAATGTTCCGAAAAACGAAAAATCGTTCAGGAGTGACCGAAACACGAATAATATCTTGCGCGGAATGCGGCGAAGAATACTGCAACGGTAAGTTTGCATAAATATCGAACTATATTATAATTTTATATACCTACTACCAAAATAAAATACGTACCTAACATATGTATAATAATATTGCCATTTTAGAGGATCGCCTAGCTTCACTGACGGACAGACTGACAGACTATTATATATTTCATATTTGTTGACGTTTCAAAAGTACCAAATTATGGTTTAATTGAAATAAATGCTTTTGAGTTTGAGGGTCACACATGAGCGAGGTTGCTTCAAAAATGGCATGCGCTCATGCACAATACGACAATAGGGCACGTGATGCCCGGTTTTAATAGTTTATTACACCAATCGAACTGGTAATCACACGGTAATGGTGTATATAAAATCAGAAATTTTAAGCTGAACTTAACGAATATTTATGTTCTTAGGTAAAATGTGCGCCATTACAAACTACGATATGTTCGCCCGTTTGAAAATAGAAGTGGAAACAAAATCATCGCGAGCACAGGCAGCACCGACGCAGGGCCTCGGCAAAATGAAAAAACTTCGGCGGCGCCCAAAACGTAAGATGCGCAGTAAAAGTGCTGCACCCGAACTAAGCAAGGCGCATAGGAATAAGTCGGGAGCTAAAAGCGATTCCGAACTTTAACCTATCTTCGCAAAAAATCCCACCATCTTGCTCAGACTAATAAATTGTCACTTAAAAAATATATTTCAAGTTATGGAATAATTGTCATTTACCTGCACATTCGAGGAGTTCTTCTCGATTTCTCTGGATTCCTCGGATTCCTGATGACATGATGCCTCATGATGACTTCATTTGATACAGATGCTTCGTCTCTCACAAGACACAATAACTTTTTTATCTTTTCATAAGAAATATTACTTATCTACTTACTCTCAATTACTGAATTGAGTCTTTAGTCACTGGACTAAAGACGCCTTTAAGGTACAGTGGGACGAGTCAACCTACTTCTTCCTGTCAAATTCATCTAAATTAATGTTTACAACTTTATTGTTTTGATAAAAAGACGAAAATCCCTTGAAAAAATTGGTGACACTAAAATATCGCAGATCCTCCAAAAAAATAACCTTTCAGCCTAGAGAGGCTTATTATTGTGTAGAGATTATAAGTTTTCTTGACAAAAATTATGAACAATATAATTATTGATCTATCTATACAGTTGGGTAAATTATTTGTTTATAAATATGACCAAAAATTCTGGCCAAGTTTCAAGTTCGTGAATAATAATTGATAAACTCGCACTATCTTTCCTATGGTTAGATTATACATACATTTATTAAATAATCTAAGTCTAACCAACCACTGTATTTTTAATCTTCAATGAGATAGATATTAAGGAGACAGACTGGTATGATAATTTGTATGCAGATTAGATTTTCACCTACGCCTATATAACCTAGTCGATATAATCACAGTTTTATATTCTCAATCGAATAAAATATTAATATTAACTCTAGTTGTAAGATAACATTGTATACTTACTTTACTTGTACTTTGAATCTCAATTTTGTACTGGTAATTTTATTATACGATTATATTATAATGTGAAGCACTATCTGTCCATTTTATTTACCTATACACACTACACATGCACAAAACAAACTCATTTTTACGAGGAGATACTTAAGTACGTACTTAAATTTTTGATAAGTGGATAAAAAAATACAAATGTATCAATATCACTCTTTATTGATTTAAAAAAATATTTATATTACACATTCATTATATTAATTACTTTAGAGCCTATAAAACAACAACATTATCAAGATACAGTGTCTCTATACGTTGGCATTGTCCACACCTGGCTCGCGCAGGCGCGGGATCCCGTCACTACAAACTACTTTATGAATATGAAGCCAAAAATATCTTTACATCATTATAGTTATACCTATATCGATATACGAATTTAATTCATCTTCGACAGCTCACTAGATGATAAATTCTTATAAATGTAGGCCCTAAGTACAGAATAGAATTAGACTAAAAAGAAACGCAAATAGATATGGAACCACAACTGGAAAAAAATCTCCTACGATATGCTTAAATATAGAATAACAAAATGAATGGTAAGTTCAAGTGCTAGAGAAGTCGTAGTAAGAACACTAACGTCTAGCTATTGCAACGAAATACTACAGACCCTTGCCCTGGAACTAGTAGATATCACAGGGTAATATCAACAACATGCAAAATAAATAAATTATACAGGTAGATGAAATGGAGATACAAGATCACTCGCGAGATATAATTTCATTCAGATACATCGACGTATGTACATGTACGTCATGAACGCTGTATGTGCCAATGAAACATTTCACAGCCCAAGTCCAAGACAAACGAGTACTGAGACTATTATTCTTGTGTTTACACAGATTTTGTCTTTGTTAGCAACAAATTTCTAACCACATTGTAACATTCTCGCATTTTATCCTATTATTTAAAAGTAATAATAAATTATTTGCATTTAAAGACATTTCAAATTTTTAAATGATTGTTTAGCAGCGCTACACTAGAATTATTCTTAAAACTAGGTTTACAAAATAGGAATCTGCAATAAAATAGTAATTGTTACAAATTGTAACAATCTGAGACTGCTATATTTTACAATAGGATATAAATATTTGCTTTAACTTTAGCAACATGGATATGTAATATTGTTTTATTTAATGACATCATAAATAAAGGAATCAAATCATGTCGATTGTGCTAAACTTTAAGAGAAAGCACATTAGGTCCGGACGGAAGATATCCACAATATCTAAATTTGTATTGTAAACGGAATAATTAACATTATATATTACTCTACTACGACGCAGAAACACAAAACCAATTAATCATTTATAATTTAAATATAATTATATAAGACGTTACGACGTAAAACCGCGTATTTACTCGGATTGGTCCAATTCAGGTCTCATCACATATTTTGTCATGGGTAAATCACAACACTGATTATTGACATAAAATAATTAGTTGGTGTTCAACTAAATTACATAAACGAGATGACATCGTCAAAGTAATTTTATATTAAAATATTTAGCAGGAATGACATCTACGGACAACTATTACGGAAGGATGAAATGCACACAAATGGAATGAAAGGAGAAAAGACTTATTTACTACAAGCACCAGAAGATCTCAAATATATTATTACCGGATATACAGTTCTACAACTAGAGGTACAATATAGGTCTACGTAAGTATGGAAATAGATAGAGTATATAATACAACACGCGCGCGATGGAAGAAAAAGTTAAAAATATTTTTGAAAACATAATGTGGCAGATTGTCTGCATGAATAACATATTAGGGAAAGATACCGAAAGATTTCGTAGATACATAGAATAATTTCGTTGTAAATCGGATGTTGATATCCTTCTGGATAACCTAGTACTTAAGTATCGCGCGCGCAGGTAACAACTGTGTTCCTCAGAATACGAGCCCCCATTAATTAAATCGCATTCCTCACATAGTAACAAAGTAAATACATAACACGGAACATATTGCAGATTCCCAAAATTCACATTAAAGTTCTCCAAATACATAATGAATTATGACTCATAAAAAAATATTATGCTCTATTATTGAAAACAATAATTAAATTATTATGAAAACAAGTCAACGAGCTAAATGTACAATAAAATATGAAACTAAAAACATGGACGAAAGTTAACTGAATGTGTAAGAAAGTTAAGGTATTAAAACTTAAAATATAAACAACTTTCACACCCTGTAAAACTACAACCCTGAACTGAGTGGTAATTTAGACTTTAAACTTGAGGTTTGTATGAATGGCAACAGAATAGCATGTTCACTTCGAGTATGTTAGCAGCTACAGGTAGATAATTTTATCAGGGGTGAGTGGCATTGAGCTAGCAACGGGGCGGAGTGCCCAGCTGGACCCTGTTTCTACAACTCACCCTTCACTGGTCTTTGCGAGCCTTCTTTTTGCTCTTTTTGGACACTTTCGCGTCGGTCCAAGTGTCTGCAACAAATGAAAATAAAATCCATTGAGCAACATGTTACATAAGCATATTTATAAGTACTTGTTATGAAATGTAACAAATTATAAGTGCTAGTTGAGAAAGTCTTTTAGAAGTATGCTTAACATAATTACCATTATCCAATTTAGCAAAATAAGACTTGCTATTCTATTTGAAGTGTAACACAACTTATTTTTTTAATGTTCAAGTTCAATAGGAAAATGACTTTACAGTAACAAAATTATTATTACCAAACTAAGTGAATGTAATTTGTAAGTACTTAGTAATAATTTATTAATTATTGCTTTGATAAAACTTACCGCCTAACTCATCAAAGGCCAAAGCATTTTGGCTGTCTTGTTTCTCAGAGTCGGAGGTGTCCTTCTCCACAGACTCTTGTTTCGGGACACTCTTGGCTGCGGAAATCTGGAAACAAACAATATTTCATTGTAGAACTGAATAAAATAAATAATATCATTACAGATTTAAAAAGCCATCTAAAATCAGTATGGAATGTACACTTCTGCTTGGCCAAAATGTAGATACTCGTCTGGCCACATCAGCTCATTATTTTTATTTTATTTATTATGAAGCCGAACATAAGTAAGCGAGCAATTTCAAAGGCATAGAGATAATTGAATTTGTTAGTTTGTTATTAGTCATAAAGTCATGCGAAAGTCATGTTTACATATAATTGACCTTTATCTATTACTATAGCAGAAGTAGTATGTAATGATATTGAAATGATTGTATATTAATGTTAGTCAATTACTACTTTATTGTTTGAATAAATCTATAACTAAGATAATAGAATAACAATGGAACTGTAAAGTAACTACAATATTACTATTGAAGCACAATTTATTGATTTTTCTTACCTCTACAGATTTCTTCCTAATTTGTTTTTCCTTGTTTTCCTTTTTCTTGTTGCTACGGAGATCTTTAACATCAGTCAGCTCCTCTACTTCAGGGGACTCCTCATCCTCCACACCACCAAGGGCAGCCTGCTCACGACGCTCTGCCTGTTGAAACAATGTATTCATTTGATCAGTTGCCTTGTAAGAAATTCACACGTGCTTCAGGGCTGAGGTAGAATAAAAGCATTGTTATTAATCAGTAAAACAAATAGAATACAGATAATATTTATTACCTCTTTCAGTACACGCTGGAGCTCTTCCACTTGAGCTTGCAGGGCACGGGCTGCATCCTCATCCACATGTGGGCCTTCAGCACTGATGACCTTAATAGTTTCCTCAGCAGGCTCCTCCACCGGTCTGGCAGCCTCAACATCAGCATCTTTCACCTTTTTATTCTTCTTAGCAGGACTTTCCTTCTTCTTGTCCTTCTCCTCAACTGGCTTGCGTTCCTTCTTTTTGTCACTTTTCTTTGGCACTTCTTGCCAGCCTCCATCATCAAAATCAGCAGGCTTCTCAACCTCAACTACAATCTTGTTTTTCTTACTCTTCTTGGCATCACCGGCTCCTGTCTCTTTCTTCACAGGTTTGGGCTCAGCGGGTCTTTCCTTGGGCTTGGGCTTCTCTGCTTCTTTCACTTTTTCCTCCTTCTTCTCCTTGCTTGGAGACTTTTTGGAGCTTTCAGACTTTGTCTTCACATCATCAGTCACTACGCGGTTGGGTGAAGACTTCTATAAAATTAAATTAGATAACTGTTAGTTGATGTTTCTGTTTACACCTCATTTCATTCCTTAAAGGTACATTCATAAATTAAAAATAAATATAATTTAAATAAACACCTTATGGGTAAATAGAATTGATGTTTGAAGCTTTAGTTTCGTATCTCCCGGCTTACAGGTTAAAAATAAAATGAGCACGCAATGATGACAACGGCGGGAGCACATAACATATTGTTTGCACTCACCTTGTCCTTCTTTTTGTTCTTCTTGTTGGACGATTTTCTGTCGTCCAATACCAGAGGCAGTTTATCAAACTGCGGCTGTTCTGCTGAGCGGAACCCGAAGACAAATACGAGAGCTGCGCATACTAAAACAACAGCCACAGCCGCAGCGGTGAACATAAACTGCGTGTTAGACACTTGACTCAAAATTTCCATCTTAAGCCTCTAAATGAAAAACCGCCCAAAATTTATAGTTCACATATAAAGTTGTCGATAAGGTATGATACTGTTGAACAAATTAATTCCAAAGTGATAAAAGCAGACACGGAGACATGATGACGCGGCTGTGACGTGCCAAAAAATTGCGATTTAGTAGTAACTGGGTTGCCAATTACTACACTAACATTTAATTTAATTTATTGAAATACGCAAGAAAATTACCAATAAATCTGTAAAAAAATTATTAAAAAAGTCTTTTCTCTTCATGTAGCTAGCAAATAAAATTGTTCAGCAATAGTCAATTTGAAATTTACTGTAAAATATGGAAGAAATAGTTATACATTTTATTAACATTTCTTTGCTCGTGAAAAGAACCTTACATAATTAGAAATGAGTAGCAAAATTAATTTATGTAAATCGTTCATATTTTTTGTTACATAACGAAGTGTTCATAAATTAATAAATAAAAATTTTATGGTTTTTGGTATTTTGATACGCCGATTTCATAGTAAAAGATGACATTGACATCCGGCAGTCTAGTGAAGTCTACTGATATTGACAAGACAAGAATGACATTTGATACGCTTGTTGTTTTGTATACTTTCTAACCTAAAAATTATTACCACATTATTACTATTGAAAGAAGCACATTGTGTTTATAACTAAAAGATGGGGAATAACTACAAAAAGAAGAACAAAAATAAAAAGAAAAGGTTAGAAAGAGCTAAACATGCTGGTAACGAAAATCCTGAAGAGCAGGTGCAACAAGTGGAAGATCAAGGAAACGAATCTGATGGTGAAAATGCAGGCAACATTTCAATTTCCAAGAAAAGACAACACGAAGTTGGGGATGACTCCGACGTTGAAGATAAACCTCAAAGAAAGAAAAAGAAGAAGCAACCTATACAAATGGACTCCACAGATAAAAAGGGGAAAAAATCAATTCGTCAAATGAAGAGGGAAAAGTTTGCAGCGCGGCAGGCTGAAGCACAATCTGCAGCTAAAGATCAGCTAAAAAGTCAATGTCTAAATTATTTGTCACAGTGGAAGCATGATAAACAGAACTGGAAATTCATGAAGGCCAGGCAAGTATGGCTGTTCAAAAACAAATTCTCAACACACTTGGTACCAGATGCCTCATGGCCTACACTACTTGAATATTTTGAGTCTGCACAAGGTAACATACGAAATATCCTATTGGAAGACGCCCAGAAAATTATAAAACAAATGGATGAATGGACGGAGTCACAAGGCAGAGAAACAAATAATGATGAGGAAGATGAAGAGAATGAAGATAGTGAGGAAACATCTAAACCTAAAAAACCTGATGATAGTGTATATAAACGAGCTAGGGATTTAATACAATGTCTAGAAGAATAAACAGTTGTTTTATTTTGCTTTATTTCGAATATCAACTACATGGTAACAACAATAATTTAAATAAGTGCTAATAACACATCCTAGACATTAACTTTTTGTTGGCTCTCATCAGAGGTGAAGTCTTCAATCCATTTGCGTAACTTGTCAGTATCTTGCAGGCCAACAAGGCGATTTAATACTTTTCCATTCTTTATAGCCACTAAGACAGGTACAGAGCTTACGTCATAGTCTAAAGCTAGGTCTGCCTGTTCATCGATGTCAACTTTAGCTAGTACCACTTTTCCCTTGCTTTCGGAAATGATTGATTCCAGTCTAGGAGTCAATAAGCGACAGGGATTGCACCATCTGTAAATGAATTACACATCCTTGTGATATAATCAGTGTACTTTCAAGTTTAGTTTATATTAAAATTTATTAACCCTTATCAACATTGATAATGGTTTAATCTAAATAATACTTACGTAGCAAAGAAATCAACTACGACTGGGACTTTGCTGTTGATGACTTTGTCTTTGAAATCATCAGTACTTTGTATTTTAACTATATCACCTTTTACCGCCGTAACAGAAAAAGATCTAATAGCCGGAGTTGTTTTCATAACAGTCGCATTGCGAATAAGAAAATTAATACCGTTTTTGGCGAACATTTTTGCGTAGTTACAAAGTAAAGCAGTCAGAATTTTATTGCCGAATTACGACAAGATCTGTCAAAGTGTCAAATACTCGAATTGTCATTTTCTAAATACTGCTGGTAATAGTGAGTGACACTAATGTGATACTGACTGAATAAAAGAAGAAACTAATTTTTAGATTGCAATTTGGGAAGCAACAGCATCGAGCACCGATACTTGCAGAGTATAATCATTTTATTTTCATACTTATATGATTAAGAAAAAGTATCCAATAAAACGAGCTAGGAGCTATAGCTAACAAGTAATAATCGCCTAAAACTATGCATTAAAGTGATTTGATGTGATTTGACATTAGTCGACTGTAGATTGATGGACTCAAACTCTACGGTAGGTCTATGGTTCTGTCATAGAGGTCACATTTTTTATTCGTGTCTACTCTATTTTCTTCCTTTCTGATTGGTCAAAGCATCTTATGTCATATATAAGCCAATCACATCAATCCTACTGAAATAAACAGAAGGAAATTTTATCATAGAGAATAAACCTTGCCTCTTTGCAATGAGAACGAATGTAAAAGGGCGACAGCGTTTTCCCGTGGACAGATTTTACTGAAATAAACTGTATATTTGTATTTGTTGGTTACAAATTGGCGCAAAATGTATTCTAGTGATGATTATAATGAGGTACGTGTTAATCTAAAGCTTAATAAATGTACTTTACTCACCGCTAAATGTCATAACCTCTTACAAATGAAAACGTAAGCAATTATTTGATTAATTTGTAAATTTAATCATATTCTATTACAATTTTAGGGTGGATATGAATCTTATGGTGATTACGAACCTCACACGGGAGATCCGCAGTATGACCTAGAATACGACAGGTCTTCATACTACAAAATGCCTGACATGGTGAGACGATTTCCTTCTTCATCATTAATTGAAGTATTAGCGCGCTTTGCAAGTGTTATACTTAATAAATTATCTATTTATAGGTCAAGAAATTCCTTGTTTACTTCCGTAACATGATCAATGAGGGAGTAACATATGAAATCCTCAACCTGTATGAGAATACTTTCCCAAAACTTACTGAACAGTATTTTGAGAACACTCCGTGGCCTGATGAAAATGAGGTGTCTCCTGTGGTGGATAATGACCATGTAAGTTATTTTTCAACCATGATATTTTGTAATATTCATCCAAACCATCATATATTATCAACCACAAGAAGTCCACCACATACATTTATATACTGTAAACCATGATTGATTACAATCTTGCTGCCTTAAACTTTTTCAGTGTTGTGCTCTTATGTTCATATTTTACTATTTTACAAGCTTTCATTATTGTTGTTAAGAATTTGTAATCTTTGATTATTCTCTCATCTGCCTCCACTGAGCCATAATAGAAATAAGTTGTCATGTTTAAATCTGTGTATTGGTGGACCACTGGTGGACCATTGGTGTGTGTTTATGAATCACAGAAGTATCTGTTATTATTGTTGTTTATATTTATTATAGCAATATTACTTTAATAATGTACTCAACCTCTGAGTTGGCGTCAGTCAAGTCGGTTGGTCTGGTCTGGGCCCTTATGGTCTCATGAAGGAATAGTATACACAATAATAATAATTTGGTAAAAGTGTATTGAAATGCTATTTTTATTTTTAGGTATTCATGATCCTTTACAAGGAATTGTATTATCGAGACATCTATGCGCGTGTCCCTGGTGGACCAAAACCCGACCAGAGGTTCCACTCTTTCTACAATTATTGTGACCTCTTCAACTACATTCTGTCTGCGGAGACGCCTGTACCCCTAGAGTTGCCTGACCAATGGCTGTGGGAACTCATTGACGAGTTTGTCTATCAATTCCAGTCATTTGCGCAATACAGGTTTGTTTAATAACGTTGTTGTTTCAAATTTAATAATGTTGTTGTTTCAAATTTAATAACGTTGTTGTTTCAAATTTAATAACATTGTTGTTTCAGTCTAGATATGGTCTCTGGGCTCTGTAATACTAATACAAATGATTTTATCTCAAATATTTCATATTATTTCAGGTCACGCACATCAAAGTTGAGCCCAGCAGAAATTGACGCTCTCAATACTGAAAACAAGGCCTGGAATGTGCTTTGTATCCTCAATGTACTACACTCCCTTGTAGACAAGTCCAACATCAAGAGGCAACTCGAGGTGAGTCTTTAATGTACAAGTTCTGTAATTTTTTTTATCATCATTTCCAATATTATAAATGTGAAAGTTTGTAAGGATGTATGTTTTTAGAAGTCCACACAGAAATTACTGATCAAATATGAATAAGATTTAGCATAGATATAAATCATAGTGTGCAATAATGTATAGGCTATTTATACTGGGAACTTAGGTGAAAGCTGTAGTAGCATGTTTGCTACATTTAATGTTATTTTTTTATGATTACTTCTTTTCAGGTGTATGCAGCTGGTGGCGACCCTGACTCAGTTGCGGGAGAATTCGGACGTCACTCCCTATACAAGATGTTGGGCTACTTCTCCCTTGTAGGACTTCTCCGTCTGCACTCCCTGCTTGGAGATTATTACCAGGCCATCAAGGTAAACTTAGATAATAAACTTTCTTAGCTTGTTAGAGTGACTGTGTTGTAATCAAACCATAAGTGCCAAGGTGGTTTCTTTTAGTTAGGCTAAGTTTTTTTTGTGACTACCAAGTTTCACAGTTATGATTTAGCTAACTTACCCCTAACTTTTATAGACACAGATCTTGTATAAAAATATAATTAAAGAATAAAATTAATTTTTTTTCAGGTCTTGGAAAACATTGAGCTTCACAAGAAGTCTCAGTACTCGCATGTGCCTGCCTGCCAAATCTCCACTTCTTACTACGTGGGATTCGCCTACATGATGATGCGTCGTTACGCCGACGCTATTCGCACGCTGTCCTCAGCTCTGCTGTACATGCAGCGCACCAAACAGCTGTTCTCTTCCCGTTCGTACCAAAATGACCAGATTAACAAGCAGACTGAGCAGATGTACCACCTTTTGGCTATCTGCCTGGTTCTCCACCCTCAGTGTGTTGATGAGTCCATCCAGCAGGTAACTAATATACAAATCTATTTTCAAGTATTCTTGATGTCAAAAATTAGTA